GAGACGAGAAGAGAAGGCAGAGGGGGGAGGCAGAGAGGAGATTCCCTCCAGTGGTTTTTCATTAGAGCCCCCCGGTGGTAGTTTGCGTGAACGCGCGTCACTCCCTGAATCTGCGCGTGCACGTACATGCACGTGCACGTGAGGATCCACCATCTTGGTGCAGCGACAGGTCGAGCTCGCCTTACGTCTGCTGGAGGTGTACGATAAATATCGATGCATTGACATATCGCGATATTCCGTTTCACGATACGATATCAATATTCGGCAGAATTAATTTTTAATCAATTTATTAATAATTTAATTTATTAATTTAATTCCTGGGATTAAAACGTAAAAAAAAAAAAGAAAAAAACTCAATATATCGTCTCGACTTTTATCGCAATACATCGTATCGTATCGTGATACGTATCGTGTCCCCAGATTCTTTTCGACCACTGGTGGCGCTAGTGAAGCAGCTCAGACTGGGGTTGAAGTACTTTCCCACATGTTGTGTTCCTCCAGTGGCATGCTGGGTAGGCACGGTCGTTCTCATGCACACACACACACACACACACACACACACACACACCGACCAGACATTTTTAGAGAAATGGAAAATGACGGGGGAGAAACACACACCGCCTCCGCCCTCGACGGTTGATCAGACGATCGACGGTTTATCAGATGAGTAAACGCACGCCGCTGCACAGACGTGACGTCCGTTTGATTTTTAAAATCCAGGAAACTTCAAAAAAACAACTTTCAGATACGAACAGACGAATGAGTCAGAATCTGTGACGGATTCGTAGAAACAAGAATAAAACTACAGTAGGAGAATAAATACTACAGTACGAGAATAGATACTACAGTACGAGAATAAATACTACAGTACGAGAATAAATACTACAGTACAATAATAGATACTACAGTACGAGAATAAATACTACAGTACAATAATAGATACTACAGTACGAGAATAAATACTACAGTACAATAATAAATACTACAGTACGAGAATAGATACTACAGTACAATAATAAATACTACAGTATGATAATAAATACTACAGTAAATTGAATACAGTAAGTAAATTACAGAAAAACATAAGGTTGGGGGGGTGAGACAGGGAGAGGGGGGAGGGAGGAAGGGGGGGTTATTTATTAATAAATCATCTGCTCAGTTCACACATCCGGACTTAACCAAAACACACACACAGACACACACATAAGGCTCGTGGACCAGAGTGGTCCGTGGACCGTGAGTTGAGGACCAACATTTTTAAGATCATTTTTTTACACTTGATTGAATAAATGAATGATGACTCATCGTCCTGTGTGTGTGTGTGTGTGTGTGTGTGTGTGTGTAAGTAGGTCAACTGAGACCCAGATTAAAGGTCAGGACTCCTCTGTGTTCTGGAAACAACAGTTCCATGACTGAGAACGACGACAAAAACACAACAAACGTAGTATTTAAAAAAAAAAAAAAATTGTCAAAACTCTTTAACTCCTCCATTTTCCTCCACAGCTGCGTCTGCGTTTCGCTGCGACTTCTGACCGCTGCGGTGAAACGTCCGGTCCGATTTCGTAACTAAAAGTTATTTGTTGGTGGACAGAAGTATTTGCGTGTATTTGCTGAGAGTAGACTGTACAAACAACCATACAGTAGTGGATTGACTTCAGAGTACTCGCTCATCAAACACCAACTTTCACTCTTCTGATACCTCACACTGGGGTCAGGGGTCGCCGGCCTTTGACCCCACCTTCTCCTCACCTCTGCTCCGTCATATTGACGTCAAACTTCAGACCTGGAGCAGACGGTGCAGCACATGCACACGGCCCGGAGTGTGTGTGTGTGTGTGTGTGTGTGTGTGGGAGTGTGAGTTTGTGCACAGAGATTAGAAGAGCAACGAGAACGCCGAGCCTCAAACCTCAGCTCACATCCTCTCTGCCACTGCTCTTCTAATGCGGTTTGTCAAAACCGCCGCTCCTTCGTCAGCGCTCGCTAAAAAAACTGGATAATGTAACTGTAGACGCTGCTGCAATCAGAGTGTAAACACTATGTTAGCTCTGATATCTGTACCAAAACAGTTGTAGCTAACGTTAGTGCCAGTGTCTGTACCAGGACTGTTGTAGCTAACGTTAGCTCTGGTGTCTGTACCAGGACTGTTGTAGCTAACGTTAGCTCTGGTGTCTGTGTTCACAGCCACATGTTTTTACGTTGAATTTCATCAAAGCGTGAAACTCCTCGGAGCGGCAGTCTGAAACAGAGGGAAACTAATTATGTCTTTTTAATGAGCAGCTCCGACTGTAAGTGTCTGGAAGTCTGCGTTGTGTCCAGTCAGAACCGGCTGACAGCTCCCAACATCTGATGTTATCTCCACACGCACACACACGGGACAGACGCTGCGTTGGAGTAAACACGCGGCGTGTACCCAAACACCCTGACAGCCTTATGTAAGATCACTGTTTATCATTAGTGCTGGTGAATGTGGCGTGTGTTTATTTAACGGTGGGATCCTGGTCACAGACAGACCCTGGGAAGACGATCACCACGGACCATGAGCCTCGCAAGGTCCACTGTGGAAAATCAGGCCCACTGGGGTGAGGGGTGAAAGGTCAGGGTTTTGAGCACTTCCTCTCCACTGGTGCACGCAAAAAAAAAAAAAAAATAAAATAAATGTGAGACTTCTGGAGTGGAGGAAGAGTCCAGTCTATCATTAGTTCTTTATAAGTTCTCAGGACTCGGCCTCTGGTGTGGGAAGAACTGAGCCCCACATGTTGAGGGAACCCTAGAGAGGGTGAGAGAGGAGGCTGTACTTGTGTCAACTCTCCACTGGAACACTGACTCCCAGCTTTACACTAACAACATGTCCATCGGTACTGAAGACGGAACCGAGTGGAACCAGTTTTTTTCTCGCTTTGAAAAAACAGAACGTTCAGTCGCTGCCCTGCAGTGAGACACTCAGTTGATGACTGATGTTGTTGTTGTTTTTTTTATGTATTTCTAATACTGATGGGATGCAATTAAAATCTGAACGTACTACATCACAGCAGTTCTCAAACGGTGGCTCTGGGGACCACTGGGACCTTTAGAAAGATATAAAAATTCACAGAAGGCTACAAAAACATTTTGATGCTGTACTATTTATGAAGGCAGTACTGCAGTACATGAAGATTTTAATCACTGTAGTAAAACTACAGATTAATGAAAGGGTATAAAAAGAAAACTGTTGACAAGTTATTATATCATCTTTATTGTCTGTTATCGGATAACGTTAGCTAGCTAACGTTAGCTCTGGTGTCTGTACCACGACTGTTGTAGCTAACATTAGCTCTGGTGTCTGTACCACGACTGTTGTAGCTAACATTAGCTCTGGTGTCTGTACCACGACTGTTGTAGCTAACATTAGCTCTGGTGTCTGTACCAGGACTGTTGCAGCTAACGTTAGCTCTGGTGACTCACTCAATCGATCTTCCATATTTTCTTTACTGCTAGCAATGAACTGTAGGTCCATTAGTGCCACCTCCTGGTCTGGCAACTCAGAACGTTTTTTTATTTTTTTTTGTATTTTCCAGAATCAATTTAAACCAAATCTTTCGTCAGAGCAGTTCTGAAATAACTTTTCAAATTCCTAGCCCGGTTCCCACGAGTGTGTGTCTTCATGAACGACAACAAAGACAGTTAAAAAAATAAATAAATAAAATAAATCCCAGATTAAAACGATGTGGGTTCCCTCCCTGTTCCTGTTTCTCTCCTACACACAGATGTGAGTCGTACCACCAGGGGCAGTCTTCAGGGTCAGGACTGTGGTCAGACTCATGCAGGGTTTATGAGGTCCAGGGAGCTTTGGTTCCTCAGAGGGGCAGTAAAGCAGCTATAAAGATGTTAACAGGTAACCCCTCCCTCCCCCTCTCGACCCCTCCCTCCCCCGGTCCCTGGATACAAACAGACGTTAAACACATGTGGGACCAAATACCAGCGTTTGTTTCACAGAACAACAGTTGACTTCCAGTTATTGATAGTTAAAGTTATTTCCGTCGGAATTATTCAACTTCTGGCACGGTTGGACCGTTCGACTTGGCCGAGTTTAGCTAGCTGTTGTGCAACTTGTTAAAAAGAAACGCACACGTCTGTGGCAGGAAAACAGACGAAGAGTTCTTCAAAATTTCTTATATCAGTTGGCACGAAATTACGGAGTGACATCAACTCCCGTTACTACAACGTGAAATCATTCAGTGGAAGAAGATAAAAAATAAAAATAAAAAATAAATTCAGGGTTGTTAAACTTTCTTAGATTTTTTTTTTCTGATGATTTACAGAGAAGCTGTGGATAAAACTGGAATGAAACTAGACTTCAAAGGTGTCAAAGGTCATCCTCCAGAATGTCCAGATGGAGACACCACTGAAGAAGACGAGGACGAAGAAGAGAGCAGACTGAGACACAGAGAAAGATTTTTTTTTGTCTGAAAACTTTGACATGTATATTCAGACATCATCTGCATACAGACAGACTTTACTAACTCACCTGAAATTTACCTTTCTCACATTTGTTTTGTTTTTTCCTTTTCTGTTTCCCTCGAAAAACAACTCAAAGTTTGTATTTAAACAACAACCAAACTAATTCACTCACTGTGAAAAATATACATTTATTTTGCATTTGATTGAAATCACAAGTGAGTGATGCAACACGGCGGCGCCACGTTAGCTCATCTGGGCTAAATGACAATAAATAAAAACAGCAGCTTCCAGTCATGACGGTGACGGCGGCGACTGTGGGATGACACAAACTGAGAGAAATGTTCTCAATCTGCCATCTGTGAACTCAAACACTCGTGGGCGGATTTACTTTCCCAGGTTCCGCTCCTTAAGCACAAACCCACGGCGAGTGCACGCTGCTGCTTCACATGCAAATACGCCGAGCCGTTAACGGCGGAAATCTAAATGATGTAGGCAGAAAAACTGACGACGGAAATATTGATGAGGCTTCCTAACCGAGTTTGCTTGCAAATTGGCAATTTGCACTGTGTGATGACAGAGAGGCTGACGGTCCGGGTGAGATG